TTTGAAATTATCAACAAATAACACTCTTGGATGATAAAGATGCCAGATTTGTAACGATGTTAACATCCAAACACAACAACTCAAAACTATATATGATAGGCATAGACCGAAACGATGAGTAGGGTGAAACACATGTTCAAACCCTTAATAAGTGCGACGATGGAATTGTTGCAATAACATATGTAGGTTGGTAAATTTCACTATCTTTCAACGTATTTAATAATGCTAAACCTAACATCAAAATTTATACTGTATTTTATATTTTCCTCATTAAGAGAAATTATATGCAGAAAAATGACCTACTTTCAAATGCTCCAATGTGTGAACTTTTTGAAACCATGGGTGTCAAATATTCATCATGTGATGTAATACTTTTAATTATGCCATTTACTCAAATATTTAAACCAACGTAAATGGCACACTACACGGTCTTATGGGAGGCATCTTCTCTCGTGCCCCTATTTTTTTTAAGCTAATCTCTTATGGGCTCACAAGATCTCTTATACCCCTATTTCATAATTCTTGTTTTTGATCAAAATCCAAACCCCCAATTAAATCATTCCCGATGTTCAAAACTAAACAAAAACCCCCCCAATGGATTAGTGAACCCTTGGGCAAAGATTTAAATTCTATAGTGATCAAATTTCGAAAAAGTATATTTTAAAATCGTTTTTAATCATATTTTGATGATTTTCGTGAAAATATCAAAATTTAATTTTTTGAATTTTGAAATATTTTTATCAAATTCTATAAATCAAATAAAAAATATTCACGTTTTCAGATTAATTTTATGATTTTTCGTTTGACATATAAAATTAAAAGAAGAAATGTGTCCTAGAAAGATTAGAGAATGNGATGATTTTCGTGAAAATATCAAAATTTAATTTTTTGAATTTTGAAATATTTTTATCAAATTCTATAAATCAAATAAAAAATATTCACGTTTTCAGATTAATTTTATGATTTTTCGTTTGACATATAAAATTAAAAGAAGAAATGTGTCCTAGAAAGATTAGAGAATGAGATTTAGGGGCTATAGAGGAGATGCCTCGTATGTGACAAGCCAAATCAACGGACAATTATCAAATATATTTACCTAGCTTACAATTATTTTAAGTTATATGATTTCAAGCATCTTAGCTGGCCTTCTGTCAATAGTCAACCTCCCTGACCATATAAGCATATCTGTAGTTTTGTTTTGTAATTAGTAGTTACATAACTCATTTATTTGTTTCACATTCACTCATATTCTCGCTAGGATTCTAGTATGTGATGTAGTTTATAGTTTCACCACCCTAACCATATAAACATATGTGTAGTTTGTATTTTAGTTAGTAGTTACATATGTCCTCTATTTGTTTCACATTCACTCATATTCTAGCTAGGATTCTAGTATCTGTGGAGGCTTAATGCCATCCTAACCGAGTCAGCCAACACGAGTATAGAATCAATCGTTCAATAAACCTTCTTAAATGAATTTTAGATACGAATTAGCTTTCCAGTTAGTTGGCACCCAATATAGGTCTTAGACATATACATGGGTATTAAAACCTATTAACCTATTAACAGTTTTTTTTTCAACGTGTTGTTTAGTTTGGATCATATTTTAAAAATTTAAGGACATACTCTCGATCTGATTTGGATCTTTTGCCGGATGTAAATAACTTATGAGAGCAATTAGTCTGGTAAATGAGAATAATCTTCAACGATATATATAACGTGGCATATATAACGATATCTATAACGTATATATATATATATATATAACGTGGCATATATCATATATAGCTTTCGAGGTAGGTATATACATGTATCTTTTAACTACTTGGACATTTAATTAAGGTGAACTTCGACACTATTTTATTGTTGATTAAGTTGCGTCAGGAGGATCATTCTACAAGTAGGTTAGGGTTCCTTCAGCTTTTTTTTTAAAGAAATAATGGTATTTGCTTTAGTTATTTTATTTCTTTATTTCAGCGTTTTAAACATTTAATTTTATTCGTTCTTAAGTTTATAACAAGAATTTATTCCAAGTTTCGAAAATGAAGAATTTACCAGAGAAATTGCAATCACCTACTAAGAGAAAGGAGAGATATCTATGTTTCGATGTGGGAAGGTCAAAGTTCTTCATCACCCACTGCCACACGGCCCACACCCACGATAAGTTCCATTGAAGAAGTATCAGTTGATCACTGATCTGTCTCTGATTTATTGTAGCTTTTAAGTAAAAATGGAGAATTATTAAATAGATCAACATGAAGAACATATTGCTTAATTAAAAGACCGCACGTGTGACTAAATTGCGTACAAACTACAAAGAATGAAAACGCAAGATAAGGGTAGAGATCTTTTGTAACCCAATGTCTTATTAGACAGAAATGAGTCCAGGCGGGGCCGACCCTTCGAAGTTTTCACTCAAAATTCCAACAAGCCGGTCCAGTTTTATCGTCTGGTGCATTTATGTAACAAATGTTATCAGTTCGTATACATGCAATATCCTTTTCTCGTAACTAAACTTATGCATCTAGATTTTGCTCATATATAAACTACTTCTCCAAACATATGCAATCGGAATTAAGTATTTGTTTACTAATTAATTTGAAGTTAAAAGAGAATTCCAAATGTGCGGTACGTGGCTTTTTCTTATAATCATCGTTTTTTTCTTCAAATTTTGGTATATCATCATATTAGTTGTAAATCACTTAATTTTTATAGAAAACATTTTTTAGTATTTTTATAACATACATGTATATATTTATATTATTGTATTTGTATTTGAGACTATTTTAAACATGCGTATAAGCTTGACGGAAATCATACGTAAATATTTATTGGAGATAAGGGTTTATAGATTTTAATGGTCATGATCAATTATGCGTGTTTAAAAAAATTAATTAATTAACTTTATTTTCTGCTTTCTAATTTTTGTTTTAAAGCTAGATTTAGAAAGTGATTAAGACCTCTTTTATTGTCTGCTTAGTTAAATATGACTAATGGCCTTCTCAACTCACCGGAAGGTCACAGAAGTAAGAGTAAAATCAATGACCAAATGTGGTCTAGATTTAATGTATTTTATCGCAAATGTCACTGTTAACTATTAGTATAAGATATATTGAAGTATAAATTGCATGTGCGTAATTTATTTGAAGCGAGACGAGATTTTGATCATACTTCTGAACTTTAACTTGTTGAAAATTAAGCTATATATATAACACAATTTTGAATTAATGATTGTACATATATAATTTCGGATCTTATTAAAATTCTATAAACGTTCCTACAAAGGAGGGCATACATTAGAATAAGACATATATATATATATATATATATTTCATAAATTTGACTTTATTTTAGTAAATATAAAAGCATATATATCTGTTCAATTGTATATATATATATATATTGATTTATCTTACCGTTACAATGGGTGTACGAGATACATAAATTAACCAATGAACTTTAAAAATCATGTAGGCAGCTCAAATTTTTTTTTTTGTGAATTCGGAACTCAAATAAATCTAACCTTTAGCTTCAACTTATTCTGGCCGATCTATGTAGATATTTTTATAAAAGATAAAATTGAAGAAAATAGTCTAATCTTCCAAGTCTTTCTATATCTCAGACAAGAAATATTCCGGTCAAGATATTTTGCGTTCTTTAACCCAAGATATTTTGCGTTCTTTAACCCAAGGATCACAAAGCAATTAAAACATTAACACTCATATCAATGTATGAAACTCCTGAGAATTAGCGACTTCGTTTTTCTTTGCAGAATCTGTAATTCTGCAAAGAACATCAATAACCTTGACTCTTCGTTCATTGAAAAACTTAGCTACATCGTCGTCGTAATGAGAGAGAAAGCGGCGATTAGGGTTTTTGCAAAAGAGGGGTTTTCCCAGATCTAAACTCGCTTTTCTCTTCCTTTCAGCTTATTGTTTTCTTCTCAATCAGCTGCTTCCTTTACTTACTATTAACCCAAAGACAAGATCTCCTGTTTCGCTGGCTGTGTGAGGGTATAGAGTACGTCTTTAGCACGAGAAGAGTCTGGACTCCCTTTTCGGGTCTACAGCTCGGATCTGGTGTTCTCATTAAGTCTTTGTGACTTCATCTATACTTTGGGGACCTCAAAGCTTCGGTGTAGATACTGACGAAGCTTCAATGAACCGGTTCCGAAAGAGAAAGGAGCCTTCTTTACTGGATGAGCTCAAGGAGATGGAGCTCCTTGAGGAGGGGGAGACAGTGGACATCCCAGATCTGGAAATCGAAGATCTGATTGAAGAAAATGCTCTAAGTGTGATTGTTCGGTGTCTGAACCCACACGCTCATAAAGTTGGAGGCTTGGTTAAAGCTCTTCCCCCCATCTGGGGATTAGAAGACCGAGTCCGGGGAAGGGGAGTTGGAGATAACAAAGTACAGTTCATGTTCACATCGGAGGTGGATATGCAGCATGTCCTGACTAAAGGACCATGGTTCGTCAATGGGTGGATGGTGTCAATGGACCAATGGTCCCCAACTCCTCCTCCAGATTTCCTTAAGAGAATCCCCTTCTGGATTCGGGTAAGAGGGCTTCCCATTCACACGCTCAAGAAAGAAGTGGTGGATGTCCTTCTTGGCCCGCTAGGAAAGGTGGAAGCGGTGGAGTTACACGCTAAGAACTCCAACTCGTTGGAGTATATTCGAGCCTTGGTTCATATTAACACAGAAGAACCTCTGCAGTTTCGAAGAACGGCTCGTTTCAGCTCTGGATTGACGATCCCTACAGAGCTAGAGTACGAGAAGCTGATTAAAGTCTGTTACACCTGTAAAAGGCTTACCCACGATCAGTCGAGATGCCCTTTCCAGATAAAGATAAGCCAAGTGGAGGAGAGGTCTACACAAGATAGGCGGAAGGAGAATGCTCTTCGAAGACAGTTAAGTGAGAAGGAAACACGAGCTAAGGAAGTGATCAGGAAGCAACCTTCGCGCCAGTCTCAAAGTGCAAAGGGGATTGTGATTAGTAGTGATCAAGCTTCTCCTGCGATGCTAAGAGGAAAGAGCAAAACTCAAGCAGAGTTCCAAGAGGATAAGAGAAGAGGCAAGAGAGTGGTTTCACAACCTCAATTAGTTTGGTCTAAAAAAGGGGAACGGGGCTTAACAAGAAGGTCAAGAAGCACGGAGGAGTCTACAGCGAACCCAAGAAGCTTGAGTGATCCAAAGAGTGTGAATGAAAGGTCTGTAACAAAGGAGAAAGCTGGCGGTTTGGTGGAGGCCGGATCAGTTTTCAGCAGATTGGGGAATAATGAAAAGGAACAAGGCTCTGGGGGTAGTAGAGGTAAAAGGGGCTCGCGAAGATCAGAAGGTGATTTAAGGGAGAAACTAAGTGGAGAAGCTTTGGATGATAAGAGAGATGGTCAATCAAGCAAAGGTAGCAGAAGCCCTCCCTCAGTTTTCGAGAGATTGAGTGGACGACTACCAGCTTCTCCTTCTGATACTCGTAGCGCTGAAGGATCACAGGCCTCAAAAAGGCGCCGACTGAGCCACAGTGGTGATAGAAGCACAAGCCACAGTGATGAGCGGAAAGCAAAAAAGCCAAGAAGAGGATCTCTTGAAAAGAAAGTTGTTTCCCCCTCCGTGTTCTTGCGCTTGGGTGAATCTAAATCGGGCTCTGCGGGAAAAGGAAGAAGCCCTGTCGACCATTCTGCTCCAGTAGTAGCAGTTACACCGACACATTCTGCTCAAGTAGCAGCTCATTTCCCATGCCATTCTGTCTGCAAGATAGCATTGGCTAGTGGATCACAAGTGAAAGAAGGGTTGATGGGTAATTCCAACCCTTCGAGGTCTATATGAAGATATTGAGCTGGAACTGTCAGGGTTTGGGGAATAACCCTACAGTTCGACATCTACAGGGAATACATGGTCAGTATTTCCCTGAGATAATATTCCTCAGTGAGACCAAAAGTAGGAGAAGGTATATGGAAACTATTGTGGAGAAATTGGGCTTTAAAGATCTGGTGGTGGTCGATGCCACAGGGAAGAGTGGAGGGTTAGCAGTTATGTGGAAAGATTCGTGCACGGTGCAGGTACTACAAGCTAACAGAAGGATTATTGATGTGAAGGTGCAATGGCAGGATCATGTGTTCTTTTTGACTGGTGTGTACGGGGATCCAGTGAAGAGTAGAAGACATGAAGTTTGGGAAAGAATTGCGAGAATTGGAGCAGAGAGGAAAGGCGCCTGGATACTCACCGGTGACTTTAATGAGCTCTTGGATCAGTCGGAGAAGCAAGGGGGAGCAGAGAGAAGCGATAAAGAAGGTCAAGACTTTAGACAGATGCTTCTTAACTGGGGTCTGTGGGATATTAAGCATGAGGGTAATCCTCTATCCTGGGCGGGTAGGAGAAATAATGTATTGGTGCAATGTCGTTTAGACAGATCTATAGCTAACCAGGAATGGTTAAATATGTTCCCACTTGCAACAACGTTTTATCTTCAAAGAATTAGTTCGGATCATAGCCCCATTCTAACCTCGATGGATGGTTCTCTGATGAAGAAAAGAGGGAGTTTTAAGTATGACCATCGATGTGTTAAGCGAGAAGGTTTTGTCTCAACAGTAGATATGAGCTGGAAAAATCATGGGTCTGGACAGACAAGCATCATGGGCAGAATTGCGCACTGTAGGAAGGCGATATCTATGTGGAAACGCCAGGCCAAGCCCAACTCGGCACTCCGCATTCAAGAACTCCACTATAGGCTAGATGAAGCCTCCAGACAAGAGCACTTTGCAAGAGAGGAATGGGAGTCTTTAAAACAAGAGTTGAATGAGGAGTATTGGCAAGAAGAGGTTTTTTGGAGGCAACAAAGCAGACTTCATTGGCTGCGCTCAGGTGATAGAAATACAAGGTTCTTTCATGCGGTTACCAAAAATAGGAGAGCTCAGAATAGGATCAAGAGCTTGATTGATGATGATGGTATCGAATGGTTTGCTGAGAAGGATCTTGGAAGAGTAGCGGAGCAATACTTCAAATCTTTGTTTGCCTCCGAAGATGTTGGAGTCGACTTGGAGATTTGGGATGAGATGGCTCCCCTTCTAAAACCGGAGCATAATACTCGTCTAATGAAACCGGTTCTGCAGGATGAGGTGAAGAAAGCTGTTTTCGACATGAATCCATCTAAATGTCCTGGGCCAGATGGAATGAGTGGTCATTTTTATCAGCAGTTCTGGGATACATGTGGTGGGGATTTAACGCTCATGGTGCAGAAATTCTTTGACACAGGGGAATTGGAAGAAGGCATCAACAACACCAACATATGCCTGATCCCAAAGACCCTAACCGCAAAAAGAATGAGCGAATACCGTCCCATTAGCCTGTGCAATGTGGCGTATAAGGTTATATCAAAACTCATGGCTACAAGATTAAAGAAGGTGCTCCCACATGTGATCTCAGAAACGCAGGCGGCTTTTGTGGAAGGTAGATTAATCTCTGACAACATCTTAGTGGCTCATGAGCTCCTACATGCCTTAAGCTCAGACAACAAATGTTCATCCGAGTTTATTGCTGTAAAGACTGACATCTCAAAGGCATATGACCGGGTGGAATGGTCCTTTCTGGACAAGGCAATGAAGGCTATAGGATTTTCTACGGCCTGGAGAGGTCTCATTATGAGCTGTGTCTCATCGGTTCAGTACCAAGTGCTAATAAATGGCGAACCATACGGGAAGATCTGCCCCTCAAGGGGGATCCGACAAGGGGACCCATTATCCCCATATTTATTTGTTCTCTGCACAGAGATTCTGGTTCAAATGCTAAAGAAGGCTGAGAGTATGAGGAAGATCTCTGGGCTACGGGTTGCAAGAAGGGCACCTCCGGTTTCACACCTTCTTTTCGCTGATGACAGTATGTTATACTGTAAGAGTTCAGACGAGGAGTTGGATAATATAGTGCGACTCCTGCATAACTACAGCCTTGCATCGGGACAACGAATCAACTACCTGAAATCAAGTGTCTGTTTTGGCAAAAATATCCCAGCATGGAGACGTGAGGAGATAAAGCTGAAACTCGGGATTGAACAAACCGGAGGTGAGGGTTTTTATCTAGGCTTGCCGGAATCATTTGGTGGCTCCAAGGTGTCTCTCCTTAGCTATTTGAAAGAGAATCTGGACAAGAGAATTCATGGATGGCATAACAAGTTTCTCTCGCCGGGAGGAAAAGAAGTTATGCTAAAGGCTGTAGCTATGGCACTTCCCACCTATACAATGGCATGTTTCCTGATTCCCAAGACTATATGCAAACAGATCATGTCCTTGATGTCAGATTTTTGGTGGAGAAATAGAATGGAGTCCAAAGGAATGCATTGGTCAAGCTGGAGCAATCTATGCAAGCCTAAAGACTCAGGGGGGTTGGGCTTCAAGGATTTGGAGGCTTTCAACCTTGCTTTATTGGGCAAGCAATTATGGAGAATGCTCACCAATAAACAGTCACTGATGACAAAGATTTTCAAGAGCAGATATTTTCGAGATTCTGATCCCCTTAGTGCTCCTCTAGGGTCGCGCCCATCCTATGCCTGGAGAAGCATACATGCAGCTCAGAGGCTTGTTCAGCAAGGGGCAAAGGTCATTATCGGGAACGGAGAAGAAACAAATGTCTGGACCGGGAGATGGATTGGGCGCCTCCCAGCCATTTCGGTGCCATCCTTGAAACGAGGAGCAAGCCGCATGGGACTCAGGATCTCTGCGGACATGAAAGTGAAAGAGTTGATTGATGTGAGTGGCAGGGAATGGAAGCATGATCTTTTAGATTTGTTGTTCCCAAAGGACATATGTGAAAAGATCAAGACAGTGCGACCGGCTGGACGGAACAGCGCAGATACTGTCTCATGGGAGTATACGAAGACGGGGCACTACACAGTGAAATCTGCCTATTGGGTTCAAATGAACGTGATGCGGGCGGAGGAAGAGAAACAAGAAGTGCTCCAGCCTAGCTTTGATGGACTGTTCCAACAAGTTTGGAAGTTGAAAACGTGCCCGAAGATTAAGCACTTCTTGTGGAGATGTATAGGCAACACCCTTCCAGTCGCAGAGAACATGCATCGCCGACATGTTGTTAAAGACAAAAGTTGCTGTCGGTGTGATGGGGTAGATGAGAGTGTGAATCACCTTCTTGTTCAATGTACATACGCTCGGCGTATATGGGCTGAAGCTTTGATACATATCCCTCCTTCAGGAGCTTGGGCAGATTCTTTCCATGCAAATCTCCATTGGGTCTTGAACTTAAAAAAAGAGTACCCAATGGAACATGTGGAGGAAGAATTAGTGCCATGGATGTTGTGGAGACTGTGGAAGAATAGAAATGAATTAGTGTTCAAAGGGAAGGACCACAGTGCCCCCGCAACGGTGGAGAAGGTGATGGATGATGTGAAGGAGTGGAAATGTAGAGAGGAGGTGAAAGTTGATGTGGTCAAAAAACCTGCCATTGATGAACCAGTAAAGAAATGGAGTCCCCCCTCACCATTACAGCTCAAATGTAATTCTGACGGTGCTTGGAAACGTGATTCAGGTGTAGGGGGTATTGGATGGGTGACACGCGATCACCATGGTTCTCTGGTGTGGGCAGGTGCAAGAGTTCTGCCAGCAATGGGGTCGGCGCTAGAAACAGAAGCATAAGCTCTTAGATGGGCAATACAGACTATGGCAGGCTTCGGCTATAAGAGAGTGAGCTTTGAAACTGATTCACTAACCCTGAAGAAGATGCTCCATGGAGAGGAAGAGATTTGGCCGAGAATGAAGCCTCTTGTCCAAGAGATTAATACCCTGTTGTTTGAGCACCATGAGTTTGAGGTGGAGTTTTGCCCTCGAAGTGGTAATAAAGTTGCCGATAGGATAGCGAAGGAGACTTCTACGTTTACGTCCATTGTCCCTAAGTTGTATTCTATTGTGCCTAGTTGGTTAAGTTCTTGTATTGAGGCTGATAAGCTTGTGTAAGAAACTGATTTGGTTGAATGATAAGTACTTGTTGAGTCAAAAAAAAAAAAAAAAAAAAAAAAAAAAAAAAAAAAAA